TTCTCGGAATTTTAGGGAAAGATATGAGTTGACGTTGCCTTCAGTTTACTTAATGTTCTACCAAAGCGAACCGGCTTTTCGGAAAAATAGTCGATTGTACGCGCATATTGATTATGATTCTGCTAAAGTGCTCAACATTACAACAAAGTCGACGTTATGAATTGTAAACAGTCGATTTCAAAACTGTTTCGGGTTTCAATCAGCTACAGTAGGAGCCCTAGCTCTCCTGCAGCTACAGTAACGGCAACGCAACGAAAACGGCCCTCGGAATATATCGCAGAGAGCGGCGTAGCTTTGCTCCATAACGCCTCCCTCTAGCCTGTCCACTAGACTCTTTTCCAGACCAATACGCCAAAGACGTTAGTGTATCTGCAGATGTCAAGCGAGTTATAAAATCACAGTTTGATTGCAAAAGGGTTTGTCTCTACCAAATTCAAACCATTGACCTCTCGCTCTAAAGCCAGCACGGAACCACTACATCCTGCACCACCAACGTGCATGGGAGCGTTATCAAACTCAAGTGATGCCCAAAACCAAGAATTTTAGGCCTCCTTAACTTTCTTTAGAAAAGCGTTCCGCAGAGGAATTCAGATTTGAAATAAGGGTTTGAAAATGCTTTAGGCGATGTACCCACATCAAACGGTCACAGTCGCTGGAAGTATCGAGAGTACTTTCCCCTCTCCCCCCCCCCCCCTCCCCCTCCCCTGTGAGAGATTGTAAAGCTTCTGAGATAGTTTTGAGAGTACGAGTTTGAGTTATAGTAGAGTAGAATGGTATATGTATTGAATCAAAAGAATTAATTGGGATCCGGCCTTTCTTTACTTCTTCCCTTTATTTCCAAGGGAGAAATGAAACTTTTCCCTGCGGCGTCCGTGGCCACGTTTGCTATCAAAAAGTAAGAAAAAACCCGCAGTAAAATCGTTTAGCTCAGATGTTCTGAACTGACGGCCTCAATTGAGGTTCGTAAGGTTGAACTTACGAGCGGCCATTCTCTCATGCTATAAAGCAGCGTGATCTGACAGGTGAGAGTCCAGGCAGATACCATTTACCTCACCTGACTTTTGTGAAAGCAGAGTCCGTTTTGAGATGATCATACGGATACAGAGTACAAACGATGAGACCAAGAGGAAAATTTCGTAAGGTGCTCGTGAGTATCCTACGGGGCACGTAGTGTGACAACTGCGGAAAGGCTCAGCGCAAAATTTCACAATTTTGGGGGTCTAGGGCCACAAACGATAAGTGAATAGCCGATTGCAGCAATGATGGGAAATAAGGTTTTTCTTGCAGAAGAATTTTCCATTCAAATTCTAGTTTTTCAGAAAATTGTTTAGAATAAAAAGTTACCTCTCTCTTTATCCTCAAACCTTGTGTTATTTTTTTCATGGAAGTTAATGCTAGAATGTGACAAATTCGTTTAGCTGTGTGTCCACTAATCCGCATGACCGCTACAACGAACTGGCGATAATTGTTAAAATTGGCACTAACTGGAATTGAACCATGCCCCTGCTGTTCGCAAGAAATTCTTTATCCAAGTTAACCAAACCTGCACTTGTCAAAAAAGTTTCCGTCAAAAATGTTCTGTCTTCGAAACACTCGTATCCACAAAGCGATGCGCATAGTTCAAAAGCTTGGTTAATGCTGGGTTCTGGAGCCGACTTAGGCCTGCTTTACTCGAGGATGTGTTGACGGAGGTCTGCTGAGGGCCAAAATTATATCCGTTCTGATAACGGTAGAGGTAATACAAGTAAATCGTTGTTTTTGTAACTTTTGTTCTGAGCTTCCTTCCATGCTGAAAGTGTCTATTTAGCTCGACCGCATGGAGATCCCAGACAGCGACAACTTCTTCAAACTCGTTTAGCGAGTCACTGACTGCAATATCAAACCGTTTCAACGACGACAAGCCAAATAAGCCAAAACAGAAAGAGGAGAAACAGACTTCTGCTACTGCCACCGCCGTGGAACAGAAAAGTGCTGGAAAATGACAACTTTTGATTGCAATAGATATTTTTGTTTTTGAATCCGAGCCATGAAAAATTGCTATAGTAGAATTCGGCGCTGTGACCAAGTCCTTCGTATGTGTTAAAGCAACTAAAAAATGCAAAGTGCCACATATTGCGTTTCAAGTTTTTTTCTTCTACTACTATCAAAAAAAGCGCGACTCCAGCCTGAGGAAAAAACAAAATTTTCCAAAAGGTTTGAACACAACAATGTTTATCTGCTTTACTTACTATACTACATAACATGACAAGTCTGTGGGAATAAATTGTAATCAAATCCAAAGTTCCTTTTGAAACCTTTTGCAAGTACATGACATGTCAAGTTTTGCAAATCATGCACAAAAGTGTATTCTGAACCGAAAAACGAAAATATAAAAGGGCATGAAAATAAGTTTCACTATGAGCATACGAAGTCCTTTATGTCTAGTGTTCTTCTTGCAGTAAGTTCCACGCCATATATAATTATTTTTATTTACAAAATCACACCAGCTCCTTTCTGCCACATCTGAAGAATATACCGACCTCCCTCTCCCCCGCCCCTCCCAACTTTGAAAACTATGTGGGACTTTTGGCCTTGAACAATGTGACGCTATTGCGATAATAGCGTGGCAGCTTGCGCTTGAACATTTTGTCACTCATGGATAATTTCTTTTTTTGTCTAGTCTTTTTAGAGTTATCATTTTAGAACAGAAAAACTCACAGACGCTTTTTTCATTAATGTTTCAGCGATATTCAAGCACATTGCTGAAAAAGCGCCAAACATAAAGTTGGAGAGCATTGTAAAAAAGACTTACGAACATGCATTTCTTTGCCGATTTTAAATAATAATGGAGTCAGCCTCGACAAGTGGGAAGTGGGAAAGGTAAATATTTCGACCTTCAAACATCCAACTTATAGATCACGAGTACTGAAAGAAGTCTTTCCTGCTCGTATGCGAAGAATGGTCGCGAGACTCGACACAAAATTGGCTTATCTTTTACCGATTGTTATTTTGAATTATTCGCAGAGCTAAAACTTCCCCTCATTATTGAACTGTTGTCGCTCAGGTAAAATTGGCCAAGGTTCACCAGACAATTTCATTGGTTAAAGTCAGAGAATTGCGTAAAGGAAGTTTTCTGTGCTTTTACTATTACTATTCGAACTATTAGGTTGATGCATAATTCCTGCACCAAAGTAGGTGTAGACCGCAATAACTCGGGATAATCCTATATTTCAAGTAGGATTCGATATATCGTTAGATAGATCAAACCTAGCTCTACAAAATAGTGCTCAGACATTTAGACCAGCTTTGTTCCACGCGAAGTTTTGAGCAGAAAACTAAAAAAGTTCATGCGTTCGAAAACCTTAAGACCAATCAAAACCGTAGTCATTCCACGTAAGACATCCATCTCTGAGGTTGCTGTATTTTTTTCTCAGCTAAACGATGAGAAAACGGAGTTTTTCATGTGTCTGCCAAACTAGTGCTGAGATGTTCTAACACTAACAGTTGTATAGTACATGCCATTAACAGTGAGTTTACATTTTCAGCCTTCTAGAACAGCTAGTTTACTAGAAGTGACAGATCTAGCTCTCTTCATCCGAATTTTTCTTGCTTAGTTGCAAAAAATTCGATATTTCTCGTAAACCAGCTGCTGTAAAAAGCTAGAGATTCACATTTACGCTTCAAAGGTCCTATAGTATACAGCTGTCAGCGCTAGAACATCTCAGCATTGTTTGGGAAAAAACATAAAAAAACTTCGTTTTTTCAATTTCTAGCTGAGAGAAAAATACAGCAACTGCATAGAGGAATGTCTTATACGAAATAACAATACATGAGCAAGCTAGAAATTTCGAATTTTTCTGAACTGACTTTCAATTTTTTTTCTTTTTTGGGGCGCTTGGATCTTTTTTTGGCTTCAATCTTCGCTTGAATCAAAGCTGCTGCAAAACTTCAAGCACTATCTTGTAGAGCTAGGTTTGCTCTATCTAACGATATATCGAATCCTACTTGAAATATAGGATTATCCCGAGTTGTGCGGTCTGTATCTATTTTGGTGCAGAAGTTATGCATCAACCTAATAAAATGAAGAAGTCGCGTTTATGTCAACTTTATCAAAGTAAGTCTATAAACGTGGATTTTCTTTTGGCACTGTTTCAAATCTACAATCTTAGAAGTTCGTTTTCAAAACCTAGAGTTGTGACTTCTTCTGGACCTGGAACAACGTGCTGGATAGGTCGACATCTTCCTTTTCTTTACTGCAAGCATTCAAGCACATTTATTCATCTAACAAAAGGAATTACGACTCTAACAACAAACATTCCCTCCGTTCATCGCTCACTAAAACTCAAACACCAATTCATGGACGATTCATGTACCATTTGATTCATATTTTTATTACCCTGTTTTCCCATGTTATTGCCATGGTTTTTTGAGCAGCTTAACAATAACGTCAAATATTTACTGAGATTTAAAAATTTTTATCCCGATTTTTTCGAAGATCTTTGGTGACTGTCACGCCGAGCAAATCTTTGGCTACATTGTGCCCATTTTAGATTATTTGGGCCTCGTTCAACAAGTCCGTAATAATGAAACCACAGCTCTTTGATTGCGTTACCACGTAAGATTGCCGAAAACTCCAAAAAGCTGATTTTTCAAGGCAAATTTAAGTTGGATATGTTGCATTAATAATGCTTATTGGCCGTTTCCGAAACTCTGGGGAAAAAGTTTCTGTAATTTCCTAGCTTCTTTAAGCAGATAAAAATGACAGGCGAGGAATTGTGGCATTTATTAGACAAAGCATACAGGATTTTGGCAAAATGTATCCATAAGAAAGAAATGAAAAAGCTGCATCGAACGTATGTTGAAACATTTTCAGGCCTTTATTGTAGGATTTTATAGTGGTTTCAAAAACCAACAAAATTTTCGGGACAACCTAATTAGAACTTTGCAATCACTATTTGCTTTGAGACTTCAAATTTACAATATACCTGACCTGGTGCTTTTCTGAACCTTCTCATTTGAGAATAGATTTATCGGAAAAAAATTCTTGAATTGTACAAAACAAATGTAAACTGAGCACAAAATCTCCAACGCTGAAACATCAAACACCGCTGAAACAATTGCTCAACATCTATTACTTTCATACCGCGCATAAATGCATGCTTGTACAGATTTCCTCCGGTGTACCATGATCCTAAACATGTAGATGGAAGGATAGTTGACAATGACACCGAAACAGTAATACAACACTAACCTCCAGTTTTTGAATTAGGTATTTGAGCTTTTTATCGATCTTCAGGCAGTATTGTTTCAAATAATCAGGACAATCGGTGTCGCAATATTTTTTCATGGCCTGGAAGAAACCCATTTCATACAATGCTGGCCATAGCTATAGAGAAATCCTAAAAAATCACAGTAATCTGTCCTATTTTTTCATAAAAAATTCTGAAAACCTCCAGTTTGTGTGTTAACCAAGTTATGTCATGGACCAAAACAGCTCCTAATTCCGTTGATTACAGGTGTGAAATAAACATTTGAAAAAAAACGTGTTCCGAAGGCTGGCCACAGTCATAGGGATCTCTTTTTTTCCAAACACTGCTACATTTTTTGAAGCTATAATTTTTTGTACACTTGTAACATTAAAATATGAAACCTTTGTTACACCCGAGTTATCGCTATTTGAAAAGAAAATCTATGCTGCATTTTTTGCTTCAAAATGCATAAAAAGTTACATTATTTTAAAAAATTGCTGCTTCGCCGAATTTTCAAACACTTGTTGAAATTGGATAAACTTCATGAGATTTGCTTAACCTTTGCAATGAAAACGGTCAAGGCTTGAGTCAGTTGTGCGTAATCTGATATCAGTTTTCTCCGGTTAGAATCAATAAAATTGGGGGACTCCCAGGGTTCGGCACGAGCTTGCATCAGAGAATTTTCAAAACAAAGTCCGCCTTGATTTTCGCTAAGTTTCACGAAGCCCCTTGACACTGAATCCTAAAAACCCCCAAAAACGAAAAGGCGACTAAAACAACGTCGCAATTCGTGGAAAAAACGATATCTTCTTTGCTTTTTGTCCCAAAAACGATATCCAGCTTGCTTGCCTCGTGCCAGCTGGTGCCAGGTACTGTTGGGAGCTGTTCTGGTCTATAACATAACGTTAGTTAACACAGAAATTAAGTACTTTCCTGAAATTCTATAGAAAATAGCACAGACTACAAGCTCAGCACAGACTACAACGATATTTTAGGGTGGCTCTATAGCTATGGCCAGCACTGTAGTAGTTTTTGTATCAGGATTCAAACGCGTAAGCTCTCGGAGCAGGACCTGGCATAGATGGTCCCGAGCAGACTCTATATTTGGAGGTAAAAACAAAAGATATTGTCGTAAGGCTATTGGATTGCAAGGTTCTCGGATTGACGTGGTATGAAGTAACTAACTGATTCGAGAAAATAGCTTGTTAGAAACTGAGTTTTGCACCTGATTGGATAGTGTGAAAAAATGGGAATATTGGCTATTTGCTGCAGAAGCAGCGATTTCGAGCATCAACATGTTCTCGTCCAAAACCAAAAAAAGTCGTTTTCCTAATCGAAGAAACATCGTGTAGAGTGTATATGCACAAGAGGGAGTTGCAAAAGGCATGAAATCTTACGAATCGTAAATCATGGGCGTGGCGAATTCCCCTAAGGTGACTTAAAAAATAGAGTCATAACTGTTCCTTTCTCCCTCCTGATTTTTTACAAAACTTCTACTTATATCTTCAATTGCACCTATAAACTCCTGAGCCGCTTCAATCTGCCCCATTCAATAGCAATCCCTATGACCGATTGTTTGAGCGCAACTGGTGCATATGCACAATAAAGACTCGAAAACAATTAATCTATCCAACGTGTCTCTATGGACGCTTCATAGGGCATGTCATATTCTCTAAAACAAGTAAGGCCTTTATTTTCATCAATCTGTGCTCCGCCTTGTGCCAAGTCCTGAATCGAAAGAGGCGTCACTGTAGCGGTCGCCTCAGAAAAAACACAACAACAACATAGAAAATACCAAGAAACTGGTAGCATCATTTATGAGGAGGGAAAAATAAGAGATTAATGATAAGTATTATATAAGCTTACCTTCTCCAGATCCTCGCCTTTTTTCAACAATTTGTCCATTGTTTTAACCACCTCTTCGCACATCTCGCATAATGGCTTTTTCCTTTTTTCTGCGCTAGACAGCGCAACGCAGAAAATAGCAATCAGTACCGTTTTCATGGTCAATGTGGACTGAAGATATTGGCGTAAATGAGATTATCAGATATGTGAAATTCTTTTTTATTTTACATCAAAAGCTATGATTACTGTTTCAAAGTTGAAAATGATAATTAGCAAGCATCAGAGAATAGCATTGCCAACAGCACAGCCTCCGCTTTGCTGAAATGCCATCGAAGTATGGCTATGCAACAATAGTTTATGCCACTGCTATCAGGTGTCGAAGATATTTGTGATCGTCAATCATTGACCGTCACAGGGCGATGTAACATCATCAGCAAGCATTATAAACTTGATATTAAAGCGGTTTTGAGTACTTTTCCATAACTAGGAGCAGCTAAATATTGGACATTATTCTCATAATTTTGCGAGCATTTTCAATCATATGCTGTCACTACAAATTTTTTTTGAAAAAATATAGTTCTATCATGCTTAAAATTTTCGGAGTTCCTCTCCCCGATTGGCTGTTGTCACCCTGTTGACTATTAGAGAATGCGGGTGCAAGCCCGATGACGCTTTATATGCAGATAGCGAACAAACTCCTTCATCTTTTTCGGCTTTAGTTTCTTTTCCTTATTTTTGCTTCATTCTCCAACTTTGATGATCGCCTAGTTAATCGTTTTTTATCAGATAAGATCACACTATGTCAATCCTACTCTACCTTAGAATGAAAAGTAAGCCTTTGCAAAACAGCCTGCTTGATAAGATCAGGTTGTACCCTAGTCTTGTACCTAATAGGTCAAACTGCAACAAATCATAACCTTCTTTTTTTTACATCTTGTGATACCATTCGATAGAAGAGAGCAAGCTCAACAAGATTTATTTATTTATCTAATTATTTACTGGCACTTAAACTTCACCAAACTTGTTCCACGCAAGTTTGAAGCCAGAACAAGTCGGAACGTCAAAAATCGAGCTTAACTCACCCTGCAAACCTGCAGTGCTCACAAGTATACCTTCGCGTTAGTCGTTAAAATGTAGACTTATTATACTTTCCCTCAGTCAGAGATAAGGAAAGAAATTTTTGTGCTTCTTCCAAAGCGATGCCGAGCTTTCTCTCACTATTAATTTGACTGATCCTCGATACAGAAAGTCTGATCTGGCGACTTTTACTTTGCGCGACGTAACAAAACACAGCCTCTATTACAGGATGCGTCAAAAGTCTGGGAGCCTAGTACTTTCTCGTACAAAAGATAAGGGGAGTACCTAGAGACAAAAAATTTGGCGCAGACATATTTCGAACCATGTCAGATACAGCCCAGTTCTTGAATTGCAAAATTGCCTCTCTTGGCTTCTACGCGGCCCCACAAAATCTTGGCAAGTCCACCTGTCACGGCACGCAGGTAGCCGTAATGAAATTTGCCCCACGCCTTCACAACAACTGCTTCTTTTATCTCCGCAAATGTGCAGCACGATAGGGCAAGCTTTTTCTACAACATACTTCTAAAAGAATTTTTTGCATTGCTTAGAAATAAAAATATTGGATTTTTAATTAGAAGTATGTTACGTCGCATACCGGAATTTTGGCTACAATTGCGTGAAAATAAACTTAAAATTATCGTTTAAGATGCATAAAAAGTGTTCCCATGGCCGAATTTCAATAGATTTTGATTTAGAAGCAAATATATAGCCTTGGTTCCAGTGCTTGTAGCGCTTCAATAGCCTTCAAATTTATTTTGAAGACAAATTTCCACTGCTACGCAGGTAACATTCTCAAACTTTTATTTTCCGTTTATGCAAGAACAGATCCTGGCAAAAGCACAACTACGATCCAATAGCGCTAAGCCTCTTCTATATTGTGTGCATCGAAGTGTCGTAAAATATTAACAGTATTTCTAGCTATAGCAAAAATTATAAATACCAAAAATTCTGATTTATTCGCTTTGCAAAAGTACTAGTTTGTTAATTTCCAATTTTACAAAAACATGTGGCAGCCATTCCCAGCTAGATAAAATGTATTTTGTAGAGGATGAACGCAGCATCATGTGGCATAAAAATGGAATCAAAACCATAAGTACCTTTGTAATTGCAATACTGCAAAGTTAGGCTCCCAGACTTTTGACGCACCCTGTAGATAAAAACCCAAATCATCCGGGGTTAAGCCCTGGACGTTAAGATAACAAATATATCAAAATGGATGTGAGTAAAGCATGTACAGCGACTAATACAATACAAATATGATATCAAAAAATCTTTTTATAGGTTTTTTTTTGAATTGAAACGAGGTTTTTGTAAGTTCTATGAAATTTAGAACAGCTCTCACCCTCTTTTTGAATTACGAATGAGTTTTAAAGTGCGTGGAAGCTACTGGAGCTCAATAAAAACGAGAAACTGCGTCTGCAAAAAATGGCCGTCACGGAGTGATCTTCGAAGCCTGCGACTCGTCTGTGCTCATGTCGAGTCACGAGCATAGGTGCGATAGGGGGAGCCGGGCTCTCCCCAGGTGAAGGGGGTCTCGGCTGTTCCCGACCTTCCAGGGTGAAGGGGGTATGTGAGTCTAGGGGGGGAGGAAGAGAGAAAAGGTAAAAAAGCGTGGTATGAAGAGCTCTAATTTGTACCTCATTTAGGCACAAATTGAAAAAAAATTCAAAAATTTTCAAAAGAAAATTAAAAATTAAAAAAATTATGTAGATCTGTGCGCCTGTTTCACTACATCAACAAAAAACGAAAGCAATAAGGTTTATCCTCAAAGATGTACAAGTTAGGAACAACTTCATTTCCTGCACATCATCATCAACAATATCACTATCGCTAACGTCAGGGACAACAAGTTTGCTGCCTGAAAAATTTTCTTCTTCCTCCAAAAGGTCATCGGAGTAGAAGTAGAATTGCGTGCAAAAGCGTTCTGAGTCGAAAATGGATTTGAAACTTTCTTCTAAGCGCTTTTGTGATTTTTTTCCTGGCCCTCTGGTAGCACCAGGAAGTCAGCAGGTAGGTGACCAGTTTCTTCATACCATCTTTTAGGATATTTCAAAAAGTCATACGGTAGCAGCCTGTCTGGACCACTTATACCAATCCTTTGAATGAAGTTTTTAGATAACAATGTGTTTAGTAGAAGGTTGACAAATCTTAAGTATTTGCTTAGATGCTCTATCGTTGTACGACTTCTGCGTTGTGTTCTGATAACAGAGTAGATAGAAAATTTCTTTCTCCACCTCTGCCGTGCTAGTCGGAATGGAAACTAGCTTTGCTAGTAAGTCCATCAGATTTTCGCGGTAAATAATGGGAAAAGCCAGATCGCATATGCTTTCGCAACACGGGAAGGAAATAGTGCATACTTTTTTGGGCTTTCTCGAACTCTGGCTTCACCTCCTCTGGCATACGTCCTGTAGCTGATTAGCTCAACTTCTTCTTTAACAGCATCTGCGGAATAGCCGAAAAAAGAAGGTACTATGCTGCGCGCTGTTTTTTTTTCAATATCATAGGTCATAATGTCACAAGGCGAGATACTTCCAGCAGCATAAAGCACAGAGTTGGGTTTGCATCCCAGCCGGGATCTAAGTGCAGTAACTATATTTTGTACTAACACCTTCCTTTTGTTCATATCCATGTTTGTGAATTTAGCAGCCTTGAATTCTTCAGCAACCTGAAGATCAGCAATGGACTTCCTGGACATTTCCTCATCGAAACTAGACAATCTGCTTGGATTCCTTATGCAGGAAATCAGAGAGTTTCGCTCAATTGTCAACTCTGTATCAATGTCGACAACATTTTCATCGGTTAAGTTCTCCTTCTGCCTCGCTGTTGAACTGGAACACATGTGAGTCATCTGCGATTTCGTAAAGTATTCTGCCTGCCGTTTCCTCTTCAAACTGCCAACCTTTCCAAAACATTGAGGGATATTTTAATAACATGTTATTCTTCTGAATGTCTCAGAGTTTTTGATTCATTGAAACCAACCATTCTCTACAAATTAGGTAAGGTGAGTCTAGAGCGTTTTCACGAAAGTGACCTTCTTCAGCACTAGGTTTACAGAGTATAGATTCCAAAAATGGGCGGGTTTTTGTGTGAAGGTGTGGAAATTCACCAATCTCCCGTAGTTTTTTGAGTGTGTGCTAATAATGATGGCATAACTGTCAATCAAAAGCGCATTTTTTATCAAAAAAAAAACATAAACATATAACAACGATTAGCACGCTCAAATAGGCGCGTTCGCTCACGTTCCCGTTAGTGCTGATAACGATGTCAATCCACAGCACATTTTTTACTATTAGCTTGCTTCACCTCGCTCCAGGTCGTCCAGAAAGTTTTTGCGCATGAAGTTCAAAATTCATAACTTCTGATTTTTCCAACCGATTTGACTGCCTTCACCTTTCTGTGAAAGGATAAGCCATGCTCTTTATAATGACATCTCAGCTGCTTAGTAATGGTCATCTTTTGCATACATAGGAGCGATAGAAAAAATGGTAAAAAAATTTTAATTTTTTGTGTAGGGTCATAAGCAATCGGAGACTTGCAACAAAAATCGGAGCAGTCAGTACTGCAGGTTCTTTCACCAGCACTTTCTAACAGTGCAAAGTTTGCGCCGATTGAGCGTCTCCATGAAAAGTTATGATTTCCCTGAAAAATGCCAAAATAAATCAAATTCGCCTTTTTGTATTGCTTGCTCGGAAATCATAACTCATGGAGACGCTCAATTGGAGCAAACTCTGCCTGTTAGAAAGAGCTGGTGAAAAAACCTACAATACTACTGCTCCGATTTTTGTTGCAAGTTTCTGATTTTTTTATGACCCTACACAAAAATTCAAATTTTGAGTGATTTTGGTTTTGAGCTTCTATCTATGCAACAGATGACCATTACTAAGCAGCTGAGATGTGATTATAAAGATCATGACTTACCCTTTCACATAAAAGTGAAAGCAGCCAAATTGGTTGGAAAAATTAGAAGTTATGAATTTTTGAAGATCGTGCGCAAAAACTTTTGGGAGGACCTATACAATGTGTTGGCTTTTATGGGTCACCGAAGCAAATGATTTTTAGAGCCGGGAAGCAAAGAAGCCCTAACATGCTGTATACCGTT